TCTCATCTAGCCTGGCTATATTCTGTCCTGTCATAGACCAAAGCAGCTTTAATCATTAACCAATAAGAGTAACACATATACAGAAGGAAATTCCACATCACTCTCATCTTCTCCCAGATCTTCCTCACCTCCCTACCTACCCGATTTCTCTCTCTCTTTCTATCTCTCTTAAAAACAAACAAAAAATAAAAATCAAAACAAAAACCAGTAAAACAAAAAATAAAAATTAAAAAAAAAATCTCTTGTGACCTATAAGAGGGACCTGCCTGCAAACTTACTGGAGCAATAGTGACAAAAATGTTCTGGGAGTAACCAACCACTTTCTTTTTTTTTGCATTTGAGCCTACTCTTTTAGATGGAACCTATACCTGAGTGTAACTGTTTGCTCGATTTGGGAAATAACTAGGCCAGCTTAAAAATAAACAATTATATTTTTAATTGTTATAAGGGGAAACTCACACCACAAGAATGGGAAATCTGAGTTCTGCTGTGTCCCATGGGAATCACCCAGAGAGAGCGAGCACCTGGTTGGTCCCAGTTTTTCTTCCTGGGCTCCAGGTAGCCACGCCTTAACTAGGTTCCACTTCTTAAAGGTGATTGGTTAACAGAGCTTCCCCCATCACTTGACATTACTAAAATAGCTTTTATTCTTTATATGAGCGTGATCCCATGTGTTTCCATAATTTGATTACTTTACCTTTAGGTATTTTGTCCAAAATATAAGCATTTCAGACAGTGACCAGTGCTATAGGGCAAAAGCATAAATAACAAGAAAATAAACTACATTTTAAGAAATGTGAAAAAGTGGAAGTAACATACATATAATTGAAACTATGTGCATAAAAACTAATTCATGATTTATATATACAGAAGATTCAGGTGCAGAAAATTTTAAAGCAGATATTAGCAACCAACAGAAGCTAATATGTACAGCCATGATTAAAGTGAAAATATGGAAGTCTTTATGGGTTTGTATCACAAGGTTCCTCCCATCACATCTACAAAATATCATGAATGTCAGTATAGAGAACTGTGTTCCTGTCAGTACTGGTGGGGTACATTTAACACCTTTTCTAATTCTCATACAAATATTCTAAGCAATGGGGATTGATATTATGGTCTTAATCATAAAAAGGTTGTTTTTTTTAAAAAAAAAAATCCCATTCAGTACTAAAAGAGTCTTGCCTCTGAGGTCTGATATTTTTTTCACAATGACATATGGTTTTAAGAAAAATAGCAGAAATTGACATTCTAGAAAAACAAAATTAGTGATTCACTTACTATCACCTCCAGGACATTATGTATTTTGCATGGCAAGTGAGTCACAAACTTGGACCTTCCTGTAAGAGTCACTACTCTTGTTCCCAAGATGTTTTTGTTTTTCTGAATTTTTTTTAATTCTAATATATTATTGAACTTGTATCCACATTTGAAGAACTCAAAATGAGACAGAAAATCCCACCCAAACCACTCCCTCCTCACAGAACTGACAGAGTAGCGGAGCTGCTCTCACCTGAGGCTGAAAGCAAGCTCCCCAGTGGTTCTGACACTTTCTCTGCCTTCATCCTGTGTGCTGGTCCCCTGTAAACACATCGGCCACATTTGAATGCCTCTGTAGTTTATATAACTCGTTCCACTTGATTTGAGATCTCTTAAGTATCTGCACCTGGCCCCAGGACTTATGGGGAGGGGGTGAACGCAGAAGCCAAATGCACCTTCCTTGCTCAAAGAACTCACATTCAGGGTGACAGACAAGAAGGCCCATGTCATGGAAGCTTGAAACGTGCAAAAAAAAAAAAAATAGGTAGACAGAATGGGACTGTGATGGAAAAAGGAGAAGAGGGCTCAGATTGCCCCCTCATTCAGCTAGCATTGCCTTTCCCAGATGGACTGGCTTTGGATATAGTTGTAGATTTTAGCAGAGGAAATGACAGCTGTTTGCTTATTGTCTTGTGGCCAAACTGGTCCTGCCAATGGTGCCACCTCCTGTTTCTCATATAAAACTTGGATCTTCATCCTCTTCTGTGAACACTTTGTTTTATGCTCTCCTTTCAAGCTAATTATCAAAAGGAAGCGCATTAAATGTCATGATTATAATTATAATATATATGATTTAATTATAATTGTCAATAACATCATTATATAAATACAGTTGAAGATAAGACTACTTTTTGTACTTTGGTTATTATAATATTAAACTCAACCATTTCCCCTTAATTTTTAGTGAAATTGGGCTGATAAGTGCCAAAGAACCATGTTTGCTTGATTATAAAAATAATTACGTATCTCTATTATATCATGGTAGTTGTTTCAATCTGTCCAAAGAGTTTGCATTTAAGCCCTCCTACCAAATACTTTAGCTCCCTTATCAAAGTCACCCCGGCTAAGCAATCTGATCAACAGAAGTAAAGAATAAGGTCTTGGAACTGCATGAGTCAAAGACAGAAGTCTTAGGAAAAACACCTACCAATGATTTATGTGGGAAGAACCTGCCTCTATGGGTAGGATATCTATGCACAGGGTGCTCAGGACTTAGCAACTGGAACTCCATCAAGAATACATCAACTGATGCAATTTGAATGCTCCACATTCTAAACTGAACATTCCACATTCATAGTTTACGCTATTCGTATTTGTATTTGCTTATTTACCTTTTTAAGATACATATTTGAAAATATTTTATTGATAAATAACAACAGTGTGTATTTTATCATGTGCAGCATGATTTCAAAGTACATTGGCATCTTGCTAATTAAAATTTTTACTTATCATTATTTATGTGTGTATGATGTGCTTGTGAGTACACGTGCCACGAGAACAGCTTTGTGGAGTCTGCCATCTCCTTCCACCTTAACATGAGTTCCAGGGATTAGTTCAGGTTGCTAGGGCTCCTGCACCAATTGCCCTATGCACTGTCTTCTAGCTGGCTCCAGTTCTAGCTAATGTTAACCAATGCATCTCTTGTCACAGCTGTCACTTCTTGGATGAGAGTTTAAGTCACTCAACTTTCCGATGCTTGGCAAACATACAGATAATTGACATAAAGAGAAAACATGTAATTTGGTTCATGACTTTGGAGGCTCTACTCTATGATTGATTGATTCCATGCTTTGGGATATGTCTAGAGTCACATGTCTACACACCATGGTAGGACCTGGAATGGGGCAAAGCCCATGTGCTTTATGAACAAAAAGCAAAAAAGTAGGGAGAAATGTATAGTGATATTTTATTTGTATTTTAATAAATAAAGCTTGTCTAAAGATCAGAGTGTAAAGCTAAACCACTAGAGGCCAGGGAGTGCTGGCACACACCTTTAATCCCAGGACTTGGTAGACAGAGGTAGATGGATGTCTGTGAGTTCAAGGCCACCCTGGGCTGCACAAGATCAATGCAGAAGCATATTTAAGTGATTGTGGCTCACACCTTTAATCCCAGTGTACAGGAGTCACACACCTTTAATCCCAGTGCCAGGGATGTGGAGACAGGAGTAATATGGGTGAGCAGAGAGAGGAGTATAAAGGGGAAGAGACAGGAACTCACTGGAGTGTGGAGTCTTAGGTTTGGTGGAGACACAGTGCAGTCTAGGCAGCCTGAGAAACGCCCCTTTAGTCTGAGCATTGTAGAGGTAAAAAAGATTTCTCTAGTGGCTTACTGCTCTGCTTCTCTGATCTTCAGCTTGAACCCCCATATCTGCTTCTGGGTTTTTATTATTGGTGCTACAGGAAGGCATTTGAGGTCCCACTGTCTCCTTCTAGGACATGCCTCCCCCCGCCCCAACCAGTGACCTAAAGGCACAGTATGCCTTTCAAACACTCTACCCCATCCTAGCCGTCTAACCCTGGGTATGAGAGCTGTAACATTTAGGCTTTGGGGAAGGTACTAGCAGAAAACACAAACCAACTTTCTTTACATTTCTTTACATTTACATAGGGCAAGTTTCTATTTTGATTCTGCCATCTGTCGAGTGGATGGTTCACCTGTTAGTTCCTGCTGTGCCCTGACTTCATCTTCTGAATCTTCTGGTTTATGCATTAAAAGCACATCCATTGGGTACTACACTTTCCTCATGCTCCTGAAGACTTGGCACTAGGTTCTTAAGTTTGTCCTTCCTGTCGTTACTTTATTTCAAACTGTCGAGTGCTTGGTATGTGAACAATCTTTCCAGTTGTTCTAGATCATTCTCACTTTGTCTTTCTAATCAGCCTGTAAGTTGAATCTCATATTAGACCATTTCACAACAAAAGAGGAAGAGGCCTCATTAAGGTACCCAAACCTGCACAGCTGATGGGCAGACTTGGAGAATTAAATGTGGTCCATGGATTATCATTCCTAGGGATAATTACTCAATCAGTTACGATGGGAGGTTATCAACCATTCTCCATCGGTAATGTATTCAGACAATTTAACAATGCTTTCAAAAATGAATGGCCATCCAGTCCTCCCAGCCACACGCACAGAGATAAATGAAACAGACCGGTAGCATCAAAGACAGGTAAGCATGCCCTGACGTATGACTGAATCTTTCACATGCTTTGAGTGGAGATAAGAGTTATTCTCTTTCATTTTGAAGAAAACTGAACTTTAGTGTACCAATATTAGAATATTACTCAGAAATGAAAAGTATTGTGTGTGGGGGGGGGGTAATGAGTGCAAAAGCAAGCAGGAAGTTCATGCTTTATGTCTTGAGTAAAAGACGCCTTTGGCAGAAGTTAGCATAGGCCAAAGGGAAGGCCTCCCTCTATGAACTGTCCTTCCTACCACAGGTTGTTCTCAAACCCTGATACTGACACTAGTGTCTGCTTCACTCTTCTCTATGTGTTTTACCCTAAAATAATCTGAGGGACTCGCATTAAGATCTCATGTGCATTTTCTCTTTCATTTATTTGAAAACTATTATTTCCTTGGGTCCACGTCACCAGTCGCATTTTCTACTGTTAGCTATTATTACTCAACCTTATTCTAGAATTCTCTCTTTCTGGACCTTGGTAACTGCTCCTGCAGAGAGGTGCTCACCGTGGAGGGGCAGGACTCTGTGCTATGGATCCTCTCACCATCTGCTCCCCTACGCTCAGACTTCAGCAGTGTCTTGTGTCCCACAGTTTCCACGGGACACATCCCCTTCATGGACAGGACAAAGCCAACGGTAGCATTTGAGCTGCTCCCTTAATTTCCACACCATCTCTTCCAGAGAAAGCAGCGATCTGTTACTTGTTCCTCTCATTGCTTTGAATCTAGCAAAACTTTTAGTTTTCATTCCTAGTTTGTATTTGAAGACTCAGATTCTCTCTCCTCTCTCTCTCTCTCTCTCTCTCTCTCTCTCTCTCTCTCTCTCTCTCCCTACCTACCTACCTCCCCCCTCCCTCTCTCATTCCCTCCATCCCTCCCCTTTCCTCTCCCCTTCTCTCCTCTCATTTCTTCTCCTCTCCTTTCCTTCTTTCTTGCTTAGTAACCTCTCTGGCATTGTTAGTTTCATGTAACTCATAATGTTTTTCCTATTTTTCCTATTTTTTAAGTGTTTAATCACCAACAAACTCTGAACTCACAAGGCTTTCTTCTTAACATGTTTTAAATGTTTATTTTCTACATGTGTTGGTGTGTATGGCACGGAGACCAGAGACAGCTCTTTGGAATCTGTTCTCCTTGCCAACTTGTGGAACATGGGAATCAAACTCAAGTCATCTGGTCCACAAGCAAGCACCTCTACCCACTGATCCCACTTACCAGCCCCATTTTATGATGTTTCGAAGTGTACATATATGTGCAAGTGTGTGTGCCATTGTGTACATGTGAAGGTCAGAGGACATCTCAGGAGTCCATTCTCCCTTTCTACCTTGCTGATGGAGAACCGCTTTTGCTTTGACGGGGCAGTGTACAGCAGGCAGCTGGCCCATTAGCTTCTGTCTGAACCTCTCAACTCATGGTAGAATGGGTGGGTACTGCAGATGCATAGCCTATCCTAAGTGTATCACAGTATCTGTATGCTGTGGGAACTCCTTCAACCAATAAGCTTTAAGACACCTGCCCACTTTGGGGATGGTCTCACATACTATAAGATCAGATGCAAAGCATGCATGGGCCTGTTGGCTGCTCGATTCAGTTCCAGTTCCCAGGGGCACATGCAGAGGACTGTGGATTGCTACCTTTTCTGTGAATCTACCCTCTATTAAATAAACCTTTATCATACTCCATTCTGGGCTAGTGTGGGACCATTTTATTATGAATAACAGCATCTGTATTTTCCCCTTCTGTCCTCACTGTCTTATAAAGTCTACAATCATTTATCATCTGACCATTTTTATTCGATGAGCCCACTCCTTCAATTCTGAGATCAACTGGCTAGTGCTGTCTTGAGAAGGTGCCAATATTTCCAAGGAAATCTTCCCACAAGAGCCAGTGCCTCCCTTTTAAGACTGTCGGCATCTTAGAGCTGCTCTGGAAAATCCCAACTTGAGGTTACAAAGGTATTTGTGAGTTCCTGAATTTGTCTAGTGAGGTGGGAAAATATAAAGAAGATCCTGCCAGGGTCTTCCATCTGTCTGTCCCCAGAGTCTGCAACAGCCTTCTCTGACTGACTGGAGCTCTGACAGACACAGTGTCACCGAAGCACACGTGTGTGGCTGCAAATATGACAGAATTCCTGCCTATAACATACGCTGGTTGCTCAGCTTTGCCAGTTAGTTTTACTTTGCGTTAATCCCATTTTCTTTGGGACTTACAAATAATATAGAATGGTTCACCTGGCTGTTCTCCTTGGCTTCATCTTTCCTCCTGGCCTTGTGTTTAGAAGTCTGCTCTAAGTGACCACAATTCAAGCATTCCTCTCACTGGAGAGAGATCCGATGGGAAAATAGATAGCCACTGAGTTAAGAACCCAGATTGCACACAAACAGCCTTCTGTTATATCAGCTTAGCTTTGTTTACTGAGATGTGTTGCTTGCTTCTCCGGCTATCTGAATATAGCAGACTGCTTTATGACTGCCAAATGCTACTTGAGGCCATCAGTGGCAAAAGTCTGGCTAGATACTAAGCAGATTTTTTTTTCTTATGTTACTTTCTGAAAGGATCCTCTTTCCTTGTCCTGCCTCTCCCTTGTAGAACTGTCTTTTGATTCTGCTAAACTCATCTCTTGCTTTCCTTCTCATGTAATTCCTCTTTCTCTAAAATATTTGTAATTATTTCTGATGCATGTGTGTGAGAAAGGAAAGAGAGAGAGAGAGAGAGAGAGAGAGAGAGAGAGAGAGACTGCCCAGGTATCACAGTGCCCACGTGGAGGTCAGAAAACAACCCGTGGTATTACTTGTTTCTTCCCACTACCTCAGGTTGTCAGATGTCTTAATATTCATTTCCTATTGCCAAGACAAAATATTTTTCTTAAGGTATAAGATATATATATATATATATACATACACATATATATATAACATTTTTGTGATATTAATGGTCTATAGAGTACTAACTAATTCTAGAAAAAGGTTTCAACTACCTCTCCTGTACTTGATTTTGGATTTGAATCTTTATCAGTTTTCTGCAGTGAACCATGAGCATGTCTAACAGCAACCTTTGAAGTCTCCATAAGGAGGATGGAGCCCCACACACATGTATGAAAACCACCTGAGGATTAGCTTTGGACTACAAACTGCTCAGAATAATTTCAAGGTGGCTAGTTGAGATGATCCAGCCGAACAGATTACTCTAGACTGGACTTGAGACAAGCTCTACACTTTCCCATTATGTATAGAGTGGACAAAATGAAACAGTTACTTTTCCCAGGACTTGACAGTTAACCCAAATTTTTCTTTTCAGGATACCCTAGAGATACCATCACCCACAGACAACAACAAGTAAATTTAAGAATATGACGATCACATTCCCAAGAGGTGGGGTGAGTGGATTTTGGTCATTTAGTGGATTGTGGATGTTTATTTGGCTTGGTTATAAGTTGCTATTGGTAATTGTCAAGAAAAAAAGCTAAACAAGGAAATTAAAGTCAATATTCTTGTTTTAAAAAGAAAAAAGGGGATATAGATAGGATAAGATAAAAGGGTAGATTATTGGAATCTACTCTGAAAAGAAAAATGGGAGAATATAGATATGACAAGATGATAAGGTAGATTGTTGAATCTACTTTTTAAAAAAACTACTAGTTTTAAATGTTATGCATTGGACTGGACTTTTGTATACAGTATACAATTTTTTCTATCGAGATTAATTTTGTTAGAACATATAATACATACACTTTTACTCTTGTTCAAGGTATTGTACCTATATAACTAATTCAACAATATAATGCAAATTTCTAGTTCTTTAAAATCATTATTGTCAATTGTTTGTGATAATAAGGAAATATAGGCTAGTGGTTAATTACCTAGTATAAACGAACTTGTAGTCACATTAGTTATGTTTTCAAGGTCAAACAAAGATATATTTTAGATAGAAAGGTCATCTTCAAACACTTCTGAGATCTACAGAATATGTCATTTAAGATGTTTTAATAACCTAGGTTCTTTTTTTCTTTTTTATTATTTATTTAGACTAGGAGACCTGTCTACTCCTGGCAGCACCGATCAATCTACTTTGGAGAAAATAATGGGCATCAAGGAAACTCCACACGGAGTTTACTTTCTTTGTGGCGAAAGTAAGCTGCTGGGTAAAAAAATGCCCTTGCCTTGACTGCCTATAGTGTACTGTCCTAATTGGACAAGCAGGACACAAAAGAAAGTGACTGCCAAACATTCGCAAGACAAGGAGGAACAGCCCTTCAGAATATCCTGCTTCACAGAAAGTCTGTTGGATATGGTAGTACATAGATGTACTGTAGCCTGTAGTACAAAGATGGATGACTCAACGTTTAAGAGGAACTTTGGGTAACTGTCTAGGTAGTCAGCTGTTTCTGTTATTAGTCACATTTTTTTGAAAGTCACTTGTTCACACTTCCTGCTTACACAGCTAATATTATTTACTTCTGGGGTCTCTGAGGGAGTTGAAGATTATATAGTTATAGTATAATTTTCTTTGTTTACCAGATGCAGAAAGCAAGTTTTGATAGATAGTAAATTAGGTACCAGACTTTGGACCCACCAAGATAGAATAGATATGGAATAGTTTCTCTGAATTTGTCAAATGTAAATTGACTAGACATTATAGATATATTTATTGCCTATATATATTGTATACAGTTATTGTACTTACTGTATATAGTTTTTCTTATATTAGGTATACCCTTCTTTTTTATTTTAGACAAAAAGAGGAAATATAGTGATATCTTATTTATGCTTTAATAAATAGAGCTTACCTAAAGATCAGAAGGGCAAAGCTAAGCCACTAGAAGTCAGGCAGTGGTGGCACACAGCTTTAATCCCAGGATTTGGGAGACAGAGGCAGATTGATCTCTACGAGTTATGATCTGGGCTACACAAGATTGATGCTGAAACAAATCCAGGTGGTGATGACTCACACCTTTAATCTGAGTATTAGGGATTCACATATCTTTAACCCCAGCACTAGAGGGACTATAAAATAAGAGGAGAGAGAGGTTCAGGCTGCTTTATTCTGTTTGATCTGCTTAGTCTGCAGTCGCTCAACCTTGGTAGAGGTAAGACTTCTCTAGTGGCTTGGCTACTTTGCTTTTCTGGTTTTCAGGTTGAAAACCAGAATTTCATGGAATTTCTTTCCCTGGGTTTTTACTTTTCATACAACTTGAAGGAGAGAAGGTTTATTTGGTACCCAACTGTAGACTGCAGCCCATCACTGTGGGGAAGTCAAGATGATGGTAATCAGAAGCAACTGTTCATATCACACTTGGAGGAGGCCACTTGTTGGTTCCTGGCTGCTCATTGGTTCCTGGCCACTTACCCCTGAAATAATCACACAGAAACCATATTATTTAAATCACTGCTTGGCCCATTAGCTTTAGCTCCTTATTGGCTAACTCTTACATCTTAATTTAACCCATCTCCATTAATCTGTGCATCAACACCAGGTTGTGGCTTACCAGCAAAGTTTCAGCACATCTCTTTCCATCAGTGGCTCCATGGCTTCTCTTGACTCTACCTCCTTTCTGCCAGCATTCAGTTTAGTTTTCCCCACCTAGTTCTGTTCCCCTATAGCTCTGCTATAGGCCCAAAGCAATTTCTTTATTTATCAATGATAATCACAGCATACATAAGGGAATCACACATCAACACTCACAGTCAAGTGCAGGGAGCCATGAACCATGAATTAATGCCCACATGCTACTCTCAGCTCACATACTCCACTCTTAGACACTCCAAGACAGCATGCTCAGGGAACGATTCCACACAGTGGATGAGTCCTTCTGCCTCGATTAACTTAATCAAGGTAATTCCACACTGACACACACACCAACACCAACACACACACACACACACACACACACACACACACACACTCAGAGAGAGAGAGAGAGAGAGAGAGAGAAACCCACCCACCCAATATTCAGAATCCTTTGTTGAGATTCCCTTACCCAGATTTTTCTAGACTGTCCAGGTAACAAAACTAGCCACCAACGGTTCCAAGCACCTTTACTTGATGATCCATCTCCCAGACCCAAAATTCCAAAATTCCACTTTATTTCTTTTAGATTGTGGTTGTTTCTAGAACCAGGCAAATTCCCTTTATATACTGTCTTGTGTGCACCCTTAAGATGTCCAAGAAGCAGGAAAACAAAGGAGGGAAAAAAGACACAGCAGCCAGGAGGCAATGTCACCTCTCGGCTCTCTGCAGCTTGCTCTCAGACAGTGACAGTCTCACTGGGGATGCATTTGGGCAGTTAAAACTGGTTAAACCAGGTCAAGAACAAACGAAATTACTAGCAGCATTTCAGTGGTAAGCAGGCCACCGAGAGTCTCCATATTGCTAAGGACAATAATTAGCACATTTATTTATTATTTTGGGTACCATTCCTTCTGTGAGGAGAATAGAGAAGAAAATAAAACACAACATACTCCACACAGTGAAATTGGCCCTAATGATGGTAATTTACCTCTAACTACAAAGTCGTTAATTGCTGTGTTTTAGCGAGTGTTTTCCCATGATGGTAACAGCTGGCGGTCGGTGTTTTAAGTTTAGTCTTTGATCAACATGCTAATCAGTATAGCAGCTGGAAGATTAGATAAGGGGTCAAGGTTTTGGGGTCGTCTTTGGTTTGCCACTGCCGGTCTACCACCTTTATGGGGGTTCACTGCCACAACCATCCCCTGCACTAGATGCTACAATAGCTCCAGCAGCTGTGAGGCATGCGTGATTTGGTTGCCTTTCTGCACATTTGCAGATGAAGCTTGATTGAAACACAGCCTAAGGTTTTAGTATACTTGTCTAGCAATTCTCAGGATGACGACACTGGCCTATTTAGTGTGTGTGTGTGTGTGTGTGTGTGTGTGTGTGTGTGTGTGTAGTGTACGTAATCAAACCCAGGCCTTGTTATTGTAGGCTACGATCCCACCACAGCTCCACCCCCACCTCCAAGAAAAACTCCGATTTCTATAACAGGAACAACTTAAACTTCAGCAAGAGATAGTCTTCAAAGTCTTCAAAATGTCATCCGGGAAACATAGTACAAACATATGAAAGATTACAGAAGCAGCTAAGAAAGTAACAGAGCAGCAGCAGGTGATTGGCTTTCCAATAAATAGCAAGAAAATGCCCGAGTAATGTTATTCCCCAGGAAGCCATCTCAGGGTCGGTAGCCAGCCTCACTGAGGGTGGGTGCAGGGTTCCTGCCTCTGCCGTCACCATCATGGGCCATTGGCTACTGCAGGAGTGAAGGCACAGAAAGATTGAAGGTACAAAAATTTAGAACCTGACCCTGCTTTGTTGGCCATCAGCTGCGTGACTTGGGAAACATTTAACCTGTTTAAATCAATTAATATTTAATTTATTAATAAATTAATAGCAAATTTTTAGTCCAGAAAATAAAATGATACCCTCTCACATGACTTTCAGAGGAGAACAAACTGAAAAGGTAATGAATGCACAACAATCATTGTTGATGGCTGTTTCTGTAAGCATGAAGGCTGCTGGGCGTCAGACAAAAGTGGGACAGCACACACACACATGCACACACGCACACACACGTGCGCATGCACACACACACACACACACACACACACACACACACACACTTAGGATAGTGTCCATCAAGTAGTGCTGAAAATTGGAGATTCAAAAGTATACGAAAGTGCATGCATTCCTTAATTTCCCATCAGTGCCCTGCCCCATCCAGAGAATTTCATTTTACAAATATCTTGCTTTACTGATTTTTCTTTTCTCGCACTACTTTTTCTGAAGTTTTGCCATCTTGCCCAAAATGTTTAAAATAGAAATAAAGTTTACTTTAAAAAAAAAATGTTTATTCTCGCCTAAGAAAGACAAATACCAAGCTTTCTTTCACATACGGAATCTATGTGTATGTCAATGTGTGTGTGTGTGAGTGTGTGTGTGTACTAGTGTGTGTGTGTGCCAGTGTGCGTGTCAGTGTGTCAATGTGTGTGTGTGTGTGTGTGTGTGTGTTTAGTAATGAAACTAGAAAGGAGACCATGAGAAGAGAGAAGAGTAAGGGTCAGGAATGAATACACACAACAGAAAGGAGGGAAACCAGGGAGAGGAAAAGGACCCACAAGAAGTGGGAGGGTGGGTGAGGGGGTAAGTGGAGGGTGAGGGTAAAACAAAGAATTACAACAACACATGCATCTTTGCATATCAGAATGGAACCCATTACTGTGTATGCCAACCTAAAACTTAACTTAAAAAAAAAACAAAAATTGTTTAGTGTGTTTATCTACTCTACCTAACAAAACAAAAATAAATGTGATCTTGTCTCCTCTACGTTTAGCTTCAGAGATCTCTCCACGCCCATTTCTGAGTCTGCTCACGTTTGTCAGCCTACAAGCCACACCTCCCACTGCCCGGACCTCCAGCTCCTTCTGTAGCACCGTGGCTTACAACCCCGGCATGTTCTGCAGCGGCTGCGGATGAGTCTGGGTCTCCACGCTCGGCTGACTTTGGCAGTCAGCGTCAGGCCTAAGAATCCACTCAAGGCAGTCGGAAGGGGTCTCCATGACCACTTTCCTACAATTCTTTCTCCTCATGTTGGCCGGTGGGTTCACCCTCTGGCCCTGCTTCTCTTCTGAATCCTGTTTTAAACACCTTTGTTGCTGTCTGTCACCTGGACGGGTGCTTCTTTTCCTGCAAAAGTCTGAAGTTTTCTTTGCTGTACACCAGCCTCCTTTGACATCATTGGAACATTTCCCAAGCTTCTTTGAGGCTCCAGAATGGCATCTTTTGGAATCTGTGAAAATTTCCTTTCCAAACAGCTAGCACCACCTTAGTGAAGTAGACCCTGAGCTGGTCCACTTTTGGAACACAGGAAGTCCCTAGGGGTAGCCCCCCGACTTCAACTCCCTCGCTCTTCACTAGAGCCTTTGAAATGATTCTATACCTCTTATTCTAGGTTCAGTGTCTGGAAACAACTGGCCCAGTGATTAATCTTTTCTAGACATCTTACTACAAACATGGTCCATAATGTTCCAAGGGCAGGACACGGTACCTGAAGGGAATACATGATACATAGATTCACCTTCACTGTGTTAGTGGAGGATGTCCATGCTTATTTTAAAAATAGTGTTGAAAACAATGCCTGCAAGATGCCCATTTCCCTAGGGCACATGTCAGTTCCCAACCTAAGTAATCCACATTGTTGAACAAAATGACTAAGTGAAAGGCTGGTCTGCTTGGCTGTCACTTGCTGTTTTAATTTGCATCTTATGCTTTAGTTTCAAAATGCACAGTATCTCAGTTTTTGCTATAACTAATGAAATAAATATTTAGAATTATTGTGAGAACTTCAAAACAAAATTCTTATTAATCAAAAATAAAAATTCATTGACGACTGTCTTAGGGTGGGGCGAGTCTAATACTGCGTTGTAAATGAAGGCTTGAATTCAAACAAATGTTGTCTATTAAAATGTTCAAGAGGAACCTGTTAAAGCAAAGCTGATAATTCCTATTATAGGATGTGTTTTCCTTTTATGGGTAAAGGAAAATTTCACATTACAGGAATAAATGTTAGAATCCTTGTCTTTAATACTAGGAATCTAATAATCTAAGTCTTTATATTTTTGAAATATTAGTGAGGCTACTTTTCCATCTTCTTTTCCTTTCTGCTAACATCTTTAAAACTTCATCCTAAAAGATTCAAAGGTTATTTTCTCTAAATTAAAAATGTAAAAATGTATTTTGAGTTATACATTTAGAAATGCGTAAACATTAATTCTACCAAGAATACAGATTATACCAGAGTGGATCACATTGTTATTTATAGAAATGATGTCTGAGGAAGAAAATAAATAAGAAGTCGCCACCAAAAGAATTCAAGATATACAAAAGTGTACATTTTTGTGGGTGGATAGATAACCTCATAAATATATATAAATATATATATATTACCTTGTGACAATCTCCTCATAAAACCAGGGATGGCTGAGTGGGCACACAGGAGTTGGCCATTAATGGGGGTCTAAATACTGTCCTATGCCGTGTTTATTATACAGCAGTAAGGGGGTTCCCACTACACCCATCACTACCTGCAAACCTCTTAAGCACTTTTCTATCTTTAACTAGCAGCTTAGTGTTTATGTGTGTCTTCACACATGTGTATTTATACGTACACATGTGTGTACGCATTTACAAATTTATATTATAAATATTATACGTATTTACAAAGCAGCTTTTAGGTTTGAGATTTGGGGACATTGCATTGTCCCCCACGATATTAGGCTATGTCTATATGTTTGATAATTGCACACACAAGTTCAATTGCGACCTGTATGTTTTCTGTCTATGCCTAGGGCTGGTTTTAGTAGCAGTTGCTGAAATAGCAAGGAAAAATAACCCGCAGAGTGAAAGGTTCAGGTAGGTGGGGGTGTCCTAGAGAGCTGCAAACGTGGGCCTCCCAGCATGGACTCTCCGTGGCTGCTACTGAAGGCTTCATTTCTCCTGCTGAGAACTCAGAGGCTCTGCCAAGAGCTGGAGGAGTATCATCCAGCTGCTTCAGGACATGCTTCTCCGGTGGCACACACTTGCAGAGTAGAAACCCAGGAGCGGCCCCGAGAAGGATCATGCCACACAATATGGCTCCTTGACAGAAGCCAGGGGTGGCATTTGATTTATCGCAGCCCACAGGTGCCGCTCTCTGGACTTATTTGGTGAGCTATTTGGAAAGAATACAGCCGAGGGAGCTCAGCACAGTGAGTCGCCACTTGCAAGGGTTTTTTACTTTTTGGCAAAGGAGAGCAGCCGCTTTCTGTTCAGTTTGCTTTGCAGTCTGGATACTGTTTTCAAACTAAAGCAATGGCTTTGACTGTCAAACCTAGGACTTGTTAAATAATCAACAACAAAATGACTGGCAGCTTGTATGGGTATGAATGCAAACACTGATATAATAAACTCACAGTGGCAATTCACCATGTTCACAAAACATTGCTTGTTTTATTTCTCTGATGAAGAAATGCATAAATTCATGGCAGAAAATATATTTGGAAAGTATCAACTTCATGGAAAATAACACTATCTACTAACTCTGTCCTCTGTAGATGGAGGGTGCTCATTTGTTTCCCAGCCGCCAAGACCCGAAGTAATCACACAGAAACTATATTAATTACAACATTGTTCGACCAATAGCTTATGCATATTTCTAGCTACTCTTACATCTTAAATTAACCCATTTCTATTCATCCGTGTATTGGCACAAGACTCTGGCTTACAGGTAAGGGTCCAGCGGGCGTCTTTCTCCTTTGGCCACTACATGGCATCTCCCTGACTCCACCTTTTTTCCGCCTCTATCTCAGATTAGAATTCCCACCTTGCTCTGTTCTGCCCTGCCATAGGCCCAAAGCAGCTTCTTTATTAACTAATGGTAATAAAGCATTTTCATAGTATACAGAGGGGAATCCCACATCAGTCCTCCACATTTCTAGATATGAATTACATACATATGTATGTGTGTATGAGTTTATGCAAAAAGATGTACATGTAAAATAAAAAGATAGTCACTATTACATCTGCTTTTGCAGCATTTGGGTCAGCTGCTGAAGAAATTTTAGCAGGGCAACTGAAAGTGAACTAGATACAATTTTCAAGTAAAAATTAAAGATTTCACAAGTTAGATCATTTTTTAATTCCTGCTGGCCGTTGACTTAGGTTCCAGTTTCTCCATATCTTGGCCCTTGTTTTAGCTTTTAGTGGTCACTAGTGGCATGAGATAGCATGAGATGTGGCATCATTTTGGTTCTGTTTTTCAGTCAACAGTTTCGTTGCTATCATTCATGCATTTATGAGCAACTTCACATTTTGCTTGGAGAAATGTCTATTGAACTATTTTCCTTGTTTTTGTTGTTGTTTGTGTTTAGCTTTGAGTTGTTTTTCTTCTGACTGTGACACTGTGGGAACTATGTACATTCTGTATGCTAAACATACGTCAGATTGTGATTTACAATGAGCGCGCCCATTCTGTGTTTTTTTTTAAATTACCACTATACATGTGTACACACACACACACACACACTCACGCACTTATTTCTCTGCTTAGAGGGGGCAGCATGTGTGTGCTACGGTGTGCCTGCAGAGGGCAGAAGACAACCTGCAGGAGTCGGTTTTCTCTTTGTAGCACATGGGATCTCAGGGGTCAAGCTGAGGTCATTAGGTTTGTCAGCAAAAGCCACTGACCGCTTCTTGCTTTCTTAAACACAGCCCTTGACATGCAAAAGTTTTACATTTTGATGAGGTTTAACTTACCCTTTTTTGTGGCTTTTGCATTGTTTCCCATACTTTTGAAGCACTGTGGGAGAATCCATTTCTAACTCAAGGTTACACATTTTCCATTCCTATTCCTATGAGATACCGTGGTCATGTGCCTGACTCTCTTCTATTCTGTGTTCTTTAAGCCTTGTGTTGGGAGGTCGAAGACCACGCCCATCTTCTGCGTGTGGGAATCCCAGGCTCTCATCACCATGCCCTCGTCTCTATAGATTGGCTTTATGCTAAGGCACGTTTCCAGTGTTTACCCAGTATGTACTGAGCCTGGAACCAAACCAGAGAGAGAGCCAGTGTTGTTTCCACTGTACTCTGAGGATTTCTGGAGCTTGTAATCCCCTAATATTTTAAAAATATTTCAGCTCCCCAAAGAGACTATTCCCAGTTTTCGTCCCCAGCTTGTTATATTCACTTATGGTATGCCTCAACCGTGGCCCTTTGCCCTAGGTGGCAGTGTTCCCTTTTAGTCACATGACATTTTTTGAGCAAAGCCTATTTATTTCCTACTCCAAGACTCTGAGGAAGCTGAAATGAAGATAAGTAAATATCCCATACCCATCCTTCTGAAAGTCTTCTTTCGGATGAAAAGTAGAGAAACATTAATTTTAAAACAAAGTCTGTTTGATGCCTTCCTAACAAGACATAACACAGTCCAGACTGTCGCCATTGAGGTCCCCAGCAAGTCAACAGAGGGCAGTGAAGGTGTCACAAAGCTTTGCTATGATCTAAGCGGCATTAATATTCACTTGGTTAATACCAGCCTCTGAAAGGCTTCCCTTGGTTCTAATAAAGTCTGGCATTCAACCCTAGTGTGTTGCATAATTTGAAATCATTAGCCCCTGTCTAAGAGCAGGGCTTTATAATAGTAGAACACAAGCAATAATAGTAGAACACATGCACAGATGCATGTGTACTGACTGTGATCTGTCAGTCTCTCTCTATCCCGAGAATAGTTCATCCTAACAACACCCCCAGAAGACCAGCATTTTACCAGGCAATGAAATAGAAATCCTGCTCGTGTTTTCCCAGGGCCATAGACATGGTATATATGTGCAGAAATCTGTTCTTGGAAATTTAGCTGTTCCTGTTACCCGTGAAACTTACGCATGTGAGCCACAGCACAGCCCATGTTTTCTACGTATTAAACATGAGCACAATACTTCATATGTGTCTAGAGTTTTTATTTTACAGTAACTTCTAATCATGTCTCATTAATTATTAATCAAGTGGGACTCTTGGTACCACAATCACCAGTGGCTGAGTTTGAGTTCTGGAAAGATTATTTGACATGTGATGCCTAGTTTCTGGGTTTTCCTCTGAGGAAAACCTTCTGAGGAGAAGATTTGAGTTAATTTCTTTGGATCTCAATGTATGGGATCAAGGAACCCAAGACGATGCCATACACTGATTAAATATCTCGTTGTTGACCACTTGTCAAGACAGCTTTTAATATCCTGCTGTCGATAAGCTAATCTACAACTGATAAAGAGCGACAAAACACACACACACACACACATTGGAGGAAGTACTTCATTTGGGGGCGGGGCTTTGTAACTGTCAATCACATTGGCCAGGGCAAGTCAGAGCTCACAGTCCTGATGCTGCTGGGATAGTTAGTCCCTATCCATCCTGTCGCTGTGCTCTAAGAACCTGGAGGAGACGAAGACCAGGGCACAATTCGCTCTGATTCAGTTTTCTCCTCCATCTTCCTCCCATTGGGTTCTCCACTCAAGATGGCTCCCCTCATACTAGCTTACTCTGCTTTCTAATTCTGGCACAGGGTAGGCAAAAACATGCCTTGTATATTTATGACCCATCTAAGTTGTGTCAATGTTAATGACATCAAAAGGAGAGAGAGAGAAGTGATTCTAATGCTACTTCCCTTGTGGGCTTGTCATCAGCTCACCAGAGCTAAGGCTATCCCAGCGTGTACCTGGTCCACCTGTCTCTCTCATCCTTGGGGCTCTGGGATCCCCTCCTCTTGCCCTCCTCTGCATTCCCTCCATCCCAACCATCTCCCACTGAAGTTGCCAGCTTCCTTCCAATAAAGAAGGATCTTGGGTGCTTGGAAATGCTAGACTCTTCTCTCACAACCCAATATGAGTTTGCATTCCACAGAGCCTTCCGGGCCATTTTCATGTTAAACATGCAGGCAAACATACAAAGAT